CCTCCGCCTCGTCCTCCTCCTCGTTCTGCTCCTCATCGCATTCAAGCAAACTCTGGCGGGCGGGCGGGCGCGCTTCCAAGCAAACTCTGACCGGGCGGGTCTGGCGGGTGGACCCATGACAGCGGGAAGGAGGAGGGGCGGACCCTCGCGAGCGGCTCGGGCGGGCGGGACATTACAGTGGAGACCCATGCCAAGAAACACCCTGCTCGCCTCCGGGGTGCCCTAGGTTTCTTGAGTTTCGATGGTTTTGCGATGGGAAGCGTGGCGTTCCCACACACCAAAAATCGGTGGACGTCCTGGGGTCTCAGGGTTGGGTTTCTTGTGGAAGTTCTCTTGCTGTCGAGCCCCTATTGTAAAGTGGGCGGGTGCCGAGGAAGTCCCAGGCGAAAGCGCGGTTCCTGGGTAACGAGGGCGCGATTCTTGCGCAAAATTGACCAGAAGTCCAAAGCGAGAGCGCACATCTTGGGCAATTCTTGACGCTGCGCGTATCCCACACGACCGCCAGGTGAGTTGCCTTGATGAGGGCAGCGTAGAAACATACAGTGCGACAGCCGCCTTGGATGCCTTTCGGGGGTGCGGGGAGGGCGGGAACATGTTTTGCACGGGTCGTCCAAAGTTAAGTTCAACAGGTCGACCTGGCGCCGTTCCGGCTCTTCGACAAATGTTGGCCGCCACGGTTATGGAATCGGGGAGCGCTTCCTGCACCACCATGTTGGCAATGTTTGTTTCCAAACAGGTTTAGAAAAACATCAGATCATATTGCCGCGAATGAGAGAGGAGGAAAAGGAGTAGGAGGAGGAGAAGGAGGAGAAGGAGGAGAAGGAGGAGGAGGAGCGGAGGGGGAGGGGAAGGAGGAAGTTGCATGCTGCCCTGGATGTGTCACTCGTTGACAATGCTTTTCCGAACGGGTTTTGAAAAACATAAGATCAGATTGCCCCGAATGGCCGAATGAGAGAGGAGGAAGAGGAGGAGGAGGAGGAGGAAGAAGAGGAGAGGTCTTGGTGGTCCTTGGGGCCCCTTGGAGCGTCTCTGATGCCTCGGAGGAGCCTCTTGGAGCCTCTTTGGTCTCTCGTGGGGGCCTCTTGAGGGCCTCCCTGGTGGTGCTGGGCGCCCCTTTGGGCCCTCGTGGGGCCATCTTGGAGGAGATCGATCAAAGAAAGGGACGGATCAATTCCGGCCCTCCCCTTCGGAGGCTCCAAGAAGGCTTCTTGGGGGCCTCTTGGGCCGCTCTTGGGCGCCTCTTTTGGGTGCTCTTGGGGCCGTCTTGGGTCCCTCCTTGGGGCTGTCTCGGACCATCTAGGGGCCGTCTTGAAGCCCAAGAGGCCCATCGGAAGCGAAAAGGCGAGAGGCCAAAACACATTGGTCCTCCCTGGATGCCTGAAGGATGTTGGCCCTTAGGGGGGCGCCCTAGAAGGCTCGAAGGGCACTTGGGACCGTCTTCGGGCTGTCTTGGGGAGTCTTGGAGGCATGTCGGAGGCTACGGTAGAGGAAAACAATTAGTGAACACCCCCCTTGCCCCCCAAACTCAAAGATGGCACGCGCGGGGGAGACTGCGGTCGAGGTGCAACTCATCAGACCCACCGCCAACTTTGAACATTGGGGGGAGGGGGAGGCGTTCACAGATGAATGTGGCATGAGTGTTCGCTATTTTTTTTCCGAGGCCTGTATCTTGAGCGATGTTGGGGTCTCTCGAGCCCTCTTGGAGGCCGTCTTGGGCCGCCGAGGGCCCCCTCGAAGCCACCTTGGGCCACCTTGGGCGGTGCGACGGCTCCGTCCCACCCAGACCCTCCCAGGCCCAGGGGAGGGGCTGGGGAGGGGGGGGGGAGGGATAAGCCCCTCTCCCGAGCAGGGGAAGGAGGGGGGGGTTGTGGCAGGGAGCTCCGCGAGACCACTCAACCCCGAGGGCTGGTGGCACTTGTACCGATGACTCGGGCGAGAGAGGGACTCGTGGATAAACTGCACGCCCGCAGCGCGGTGCCGCGGCAACTTGCAGGGAAGTCCTTGGCGAGAGCGCGATGCTTGAGTAAATGTCGAGGAGGTCTCGAGCGAGAGCACGATTCTTGAATAAGTTGCGAGGCCATCGGGAGCCTTCCTTGTTGTTAGCCAGCGGCCCTGGGACAAAGCCTGGCGCCCAAGATTTCCCTTGGCAGAGAACAGGGTGTGAGCGCCGAAGAGCGCAATCCCATTCAAGAACGAAGCGCACCGGTGACGGGAGGGGTCCACGCTAGCTAGTCTTCGGAACTGAGGGCTCAAGCGCATTACCATGATGACCACCATCAGCCATCAGCACCACCACCACCACCATCATCCCCCCCTCCCCAGTTCTACTCTCCTTTTTGCATTCGCCTCCTGGGAGGTCAAGCCTCGCAGGTCGCCCCCGTGTTTCGGGCGTCCCCGAGGATGGCGCTGCACGCCTTGCGGGCCCCCGCTGCCCCCTCTCGAAGGCCCTCTCGGGTCAGGCAGGGGCAGCAAGGAGCCGCCAAGTTGCAACGGCGCCAGCCTGAGGAGCGCGTGCCCATGCGAAGGGAGGAGGAGAAGGAGGAGGTGGACTCAGTAGCGCATGGGCAGGGCGCTCGGAGGGCGACTGGTCGACTATAAGCAACCGAGGGGGAGGGAAGGAGGAGGGGGGAGAGTTCCAGAAAGATCCAGGGGGCTTTCTTAGTGGGATCTACAGAACTGTAGTTGAAGGGAGTCCCCCTTATGCTCTGGCAAGAAGAGGAGGAGGGTCTAGACTCAGAGGCGACAGTCGCCGCAATTCCTGTACATGATTCAGCTGGGTTCGGGGGTATTTCCGTGCCAGTTTTTAGGGGGTCTGGATGGCGCTAGGGGGTCCTCATCTTCTTCCTCCTCCTCCTCCTTCACCAGTCCTCCTCGTGATCAGTCGCCTCCCCCTTATTATCCTCTCTTTCCTCCTCCTGTTCCCCTCCTCCTCCTCCTCATCATCATCATCATCATCTTCAGTGAACCTGCCGCCGCCGCCGTGGATGTCGTTGTCAAGGACGGATGACTATTGCCTCTCCTTGGTCGTGACCGCCTGCGTTCGTCCTTTTCTCTTTCGGAGGGTCGTCTCCTCCTCAATGGGAGGATGTTCTCAGAAAGTCGCCGCAGCTCATGCACGTGTTTCGGTCGGGTTCACGCGGCGCTGCCGCCGCGCATCCTGCCGCCTATCTCGGCCAGCTTCGGGTGGTACGATTAACGCGTTGCGTATAGTCCAACATTATATATATATATATATATATATATATATATATATATTCCTCTTCCTATATTTTCATCAGCCTGGGCGGGGGGAAAACCCCTCACCCCCCCCCAAAAAAAAAAACTGACGCCCGGCCCCAGGATCTGGGGCTTTGGGATGCTCCAGACGGGCCTCGAAGCGGCCCCCTGGGCTTCGCAGGGCGTTTTGCCAAGCCTTCCCAGCACACCTAGGGCGATCAGGGGGGTCATCGGAGACGTCCCAGAGATCCCCAAGACAGCACAAGAGCGCTCCAAGAGTGACCGACGTGACCTCAAGATGGCCCAAGAGGCCTCCAGGACGGCCCCAAAGAGGCCTCCAAGAGCACTCCCAAGAAGGCCTCAAGAGAAAAAAAAACAAATATTTTCTTTGGTTTTTGGTGGATTTGGGGGTCTCCTCTTTTCGGCTGCCCGACGCTCCAAGACGGCGGTCCTTCTGGGCGTCCGAAGCCGCCTGGGAGGCTCCAAAATCGCCCCACAACCATCCGAGAGGCTTCCGCGCAGTCCAAGAGAGCCCCAAAACTGCACAACACGGGTCCAAGATGGCCCTCAGAGAGCCCCATGGCGACCCAAGATGGCCCCAAGACACCCTCCAAAGCATTCCAAATCATGACCTTGTCGGTCAGGGAGACCGCGGTTGGAGGCAGGGTGGCCCGAGGAAGCCCCCAGAGGCCCCCAGAATACGCCCAGGAGGCCTCCAGAAGGCTTTTAAAAAGCCTGAAACAACTTTTGTGAGGCCCCCAAGGCTCTCCAAGGAGGAGCCTCCGCAAAAAAGAGCTGAGGATGGGGAGAATGCGCAGGGTATGGCGAAAATGAAAAGAAGCATGGAGGAAGGATAACCAATAACATTATCATAGGAGCGATGCTGGAAAAGGCAACAAGGAGTTATCGCTAAATTGTCGGCTTGACCTTCTTGCATTTCCGCCTGCGCACCAAACTTCAAGGACCAAGGTGCATGGCGCGAAGCGCCACTGCATTCTTGTGTGTATATATGTGTATATATATATATGTGTATATATATATATACATATAAGACAATCCATGGGCCCGAGGCGGGGGGGGGGCCCGGAAGGGGGCCCGGAAGGGGGCCCCAGACGAGCCATAGGACGACCGGGGCGCCAGGGGCGCTTCCAGACGACCCAAGACAGCCCCAACACAGATGAAAAGGGCCGCGGCGAGAGGCCTCCGAGAGGCCCCCTGTCGTGGAGCTATCGTTCTAACACGCCCAAGACGGCCTCCAGGTGGTCCACAAGGCTTCCAACACGGCCCAAAGGGGTCCCCAAGAGCATTGCCAACAGGGGGTCGAAGAGGTTCCAAGAGGCCTCCAAGAAGGCCCCAAGAGGCAAAAATCATGGTTTTCCAATAGGTTCTTGATGGATTTAAGAGTTCTCAGTCTTGTGGCATCTTGACGCTCCAAGGCGGCCAAAGAGGACCCCAAGACCGCTCCAAGATAGCCGAAGAGGCCTCCAAGAGGACCTCAAGACGGCCCACGAGGGCCCCGAGACGGTGCTTGAGGCGCCCAAGGCGGCCCGAGAGGGCCCCAAGACGGCGGGATGCCTTAAAGGCGCCCAGGAGCGCTTTGGGAAGGCCTTGGGTGCCTTGGGGAAGCTCCGGGAACGCCCAGGAAGGAGCCCCAAGAGGGGGAACGCGAACCCAACAGCAGAGCCTTCCGCCCTAAGAGGCCAACAGGAGGCCCCAAGAGTCGCTAAGTGGTCCGACGAGGCCCCCAAAGGCTTCCCAAGAGGTCCCAAAAGGCCCCCAGGAGA